CTCCATCAACCCAATGCGGGAGTCAGGCAGGGCCTTTGGCCCCTGAGCATTGCCTTGACCTCCCCAAAGAGCCGACTGCCCACCATGGGTGCTCAGCCCCGTCGGAGTGGGACCTGGGGCTGTTCCTGCGCTGAGCACAGGACACAGAAGGGCTTTGGTGTGTGCGGCAAGGAGCACCTGGAGAAGGCAGGTGTGGCCGAGCACAGGTCAGCCACCCCAGGGGCTCTGCTCATGCCCATCCCACCCAGGTGTGGCTTGGGCTCGGCCCTGGTCCCCCACACCCACCCCTTGCAGGGCCCAGTCCTCACAGTGATTATGGGAACTGCCCCTCTTTAAAGTACCTGCCTTCTCCTTTGAAAGTATTACTGACAGCTTTTCTCCTCTTTTTTCCTTACCTCTTTAAGTAACCCTGTAATTTTTTTCTTTCTTTCTACCCCCTTTCCTTTTCCTTTCTTGTCCCGTCTCCCTGAACTCTTTGAAATTGGCTCTCTGCCTGCTGACACCAAACTGATACTTTGCGTTTGACTTCTCCTTATCCCTTTATGGCAACAGATGTTGAAATTTTGTATCCTTTTATCTGCCGGGCTGCCCCTTCCTGTAATTACTGCCCCCTTGTTAGCAGTACAAAGTGGGCTGCCTGGCTGCTTGGCCTTTGAGCCACTGTGTGGGAACATGTGTGCACGGGAGGTGCTGGGGGCGCGTGTGCATGCACGCGCGCACAGAGGTCCCTGTCCTCTCACCTGGTGGGGCTGGGGTGAGGGATGCTCCCCTGGGCTTCCCTTTCTCTGCACTCCCGTGTCCTTACATTTGGGGTTGTCTGTCCCCTCACTTGTCTCACTGCCTGCACTGGAGGACCAGTCTGTGCCGTGGCAGGAAGGTGTGTGCGAGGCACCAGGGAGGCTTGCAGTGGCCCTGGGTGTCTGCTGGGAAGGGCACGTGCAGGGCACTGATGGGCTGTGCGGCCCGAGAACAGGGTGTGCACCACCAGCAGGACGTGCACTCCAGAGCACAGAGACCTGACTGCGGCTTATGAGCCGCCAGCCACTGAGCCCTTGCTTGGAAAGCCGGCCATGCTGCCGCATGGTAATCCTCGCATGCAGACAGGACCTACATTATGAGAGCCAGTCTCAAAAAATAGACACTCTCATAGGCCTGTCAAGTTAGGAGCCTTCCCTAAGCCATTCCGGGGGCACTACCAACGCCGCAGACTCAAGTGAGTGCTGCCTGGTGACTACTCCATCACCAGAGGACCTGTGCAGCCACCGCCTAGCCCAGGAATACACGCAAGAAGGCACCTGTTGGCTTCCCTGCTCCTGCCAGACTGGTTTTTCAGCTCAGTCCGTAGTAGGCACCCAGGCTCTGCCCTATCCTGCTATGAGACCTTAGGAAGTCACTCTCGCTGTAGCCCTTGATTTGGGGCCAAGACCCTGAGTGCCGCTGCCATGCCAGGTGAGGCGTGTGCCCAGAGGTCCGTGGTCTGCGGGCCAGACCCTGCAGCACATCCCCTTCCCACTGCAGCCTCTGCCAGAGTGGCCTGACTGCCACCCTTCTGTGCCTTGGCCTGGGCTCTCTCTTCAGCCCTGTTACTCTCCAAAGAGTCACCCATTCCTCTCAGCTAGAAACTTTTTCTGGCTGTCCCCTCACAGAACTTAGCTCCCCGCAGTCCCTAGCACTTTGTGCTGTGCTCCCTGCTCCCAGGGTGCAGATTTCTCTCCCCTGCTGGACTGAAAATCCCCTGGAGGCAGGGACGGTCCCTCCTCTCTGCTAAGGGCAATGCCGTGTGTACAGAAGGCGCCCAGCTACCTACTGGAGGGAGAGATTGAAGAGGAAACTTCCCTTTCTCTTTGTTGGGCCTGGCGTATGCATCCAGCCACTTTTCCTCTGGGGAACACAGACTTAAGAAGGTAAATTCTCCCCAAAAGCCACTGCTTTATTTCAGCGCAGTATATGCCAGACCAGGTGTCCTTATGCCCAGACAGAAGCAGGAATGCTGGGGGCCGGGGATTCGGCTCAGTAGAATAAGTGCTTCCCTGGCAAGTGGAAGGGCCCGAGTTCAATCCCCGGTTCTGCAAAGGAAAAAAAAAAAAAAAAAAAAAAGGAACGCACACTGGTGGGACTTCCAGGGAGCAGTGTCGGGGGCCCTGTGTATTAAAGGTGGAAGGTGAGTGGAAGCCACTGAGCCCTTTCGTGGGGGCTGGGAATAGAACAACTCTGGTATGGAAGAGTGTTTATGGAGCCTGGGTATGAGGGCGCAGGGCACTGACTGAGGGCCCGGGCCCAGGCCCTCCAGCTGTTGAGCCAGGGTCTATATGCAGCTGGCAGTCCCCACAGGGGTGGTAGTGCATTGTCACTACTTTAAATTCCCCTCAAACCCTCCAGTTCCTAGGGGGACTTGGGCTAGGGCAATGGTGGCAAGCCTACGGCACACGTGCCCACTGTGCCCCAGGGGGCATACAGAGCCCACCGTGTCAATGTATGAGCCGGGTCATCCCAGCAGCCAAACCCTGGGTATGGGGTTGCAGCGCAGGCCCTTTACCAGCCCTGGGGCAGAGAGCATGTCAGTGTGGCCACACCCGTGCGCCTTCTCCCAGGTGCAGGTGGCCTGCGCACACCACACCGGCAGGAGGCTCCCTCTGTGTCTTCCCCTGGATTGAGAGCGAACTGCCGGAATTCGGCTAGGGGTGGAGACGCACCCAGCCTGAGCAGTTCCTGGAAGCCCAGGTGCTCTGTACCGGGGTTGGAAGGGAAGGGACTTTGCGTCTGGCCTGTGCTACCTCCCATTGTGGCTGGGGCGCTGGGTGGCAGCTCTGTTCCCACACAAGCTGTGCAGCAGCCAAGACTGAACCCCCACCCCCACAGTGAGAGAGGGAGAGGCATTCTTAACATTCTTTCCAGAGAAAAGGGGTGAAACGTCTGAATTTGGGGGTCACATTATACAAATTGCAATCTAATCATTTTTACAAGAACACACTTGCAATAAAAGAGCCCAGGAGGAGGGGATGAGGGGACAGGCAGCTGGTTTTGTCCCCCTACCCCCAAAGTTTGGGACTATTGTTGGGCCAGTCTCTTCCCTCCACCATAGCTGCGCAGCTAGTTTTCTAGTTTAATGGGGGGAGGGGGCTCTGAGAGCCAACAGTGCCATTTCTGTTTGTTTTCCCAAATCAAAGCCCCAGCAGGACTTCTATGGCACCGCTGGGCCACTATTTGAAAAGACAGGCCATTTCCCAGAGCCTGGTGTGTCCGTTTATGCTCTGAACTTAACCTTACAGCTCTACACAGAGCCTTGAGGGTTCTGGGTAAAAGAAACTGTACCCTTTTATTGGCCCATTTAACGTGTGTGTGGCCAACTCAGAGAACCAGAGCATGGCAGAAATCCCACAGCCAGCCTTTGGCCTGGCCAGGCTGGCAGACAAGGGGCAGAGAGGGCTTGTTCAACACCTAGCGGGTGGCGCAGAGGGCCCTGGGTCTCCCCGTCTCCCCCTGGGGGTAGGGCCTCTCAGGCTGTTCTCTTGCTTATCCGTGGTGGCTGGGACTGGGTGGAGCCCAGGTTGGCAGTGTGGTCTGGTTGTGCCCCTTTGCACTGCTGACCCTGGGTAGCCCCATGTGGGTACTCAACTCCTTCCCTGGAAACCCGGGGACCAGGTGGGCAGGCAGCACCATGCTGTGCTTCTCCCTACTGCCTTTCATCTTCCATTCAAAGACAAACATGAAATTACTTCTACAGATTAAAGGGGAGAGCGCTCAATCATTTCTTATGGCCTCACTAATGGAGGGGGTAGGGCCCCAAAATCTAGGTGAAGAGAACTGTGGAGTATAGCAGCCCCCACCCAGCAGGTACAAATGTGTAGACTGTGAGGACAGAGACCAAGTCACAGCCCACCCCATCCTGTCCTGAGTGGCTGTCACAGGACTTCTTTAGGAGCAAGGTTAGTGACTTCAGAGCCTCCAGCCTATTGTCTGCCCCCCTTCACAGCTGACTTCCTAGGGACAAGGACACTGATTTAAGGCCTACCTAGGGAAAGGCAGCAGGCAGGCAGGAACCCAGCCAACACCTCTGTGCCTTCAACATTTAGGAAAGACCCTTGAGGACCTGAGTCTTTTGCTTAACACTGCTGAGAGCTGTGCCATGGGACCATGCAGGCCTCTTCACCCTAGGTGAAGGCTTTAGCCAGGTGTCTGGGAAGTGTTTCTCCCATTACATGCACAGGGAGCGGAGGTACCAGCCAAGAGGACGCCTCTTCTTCATTCCTACTTCGCAGAAGTCAGGCCTTCCATCCGTCTGCTCACTACAGGGATTACCGGGTGCACTTGATGTTGAGGGGTAGTTGCTAGGGCCACAGGCCTCCCTATGTGGTTGCTAGGGGCCTGCCCACTGCCGCGGTCACGGAGGGAATTACAGTCACAAAGAAATTGTTCTCGGTAATCTGCTCTCGGCCACCGGTGGGGTGAGGGTGGGGGAGCAGGCTGGAGCTCAGCCGGCCAGGCTGTGATCACAGAGGCGTGCTGGCCGGGCTGGGGGCCAGAGGGCCAGAGCATCAGGGACCAGCTCACTAAGCTGCTTTCTCAGCGATTTCCCTCCCCAGACACAAAGGTGCTTGTTTTAACATCTCCTGGGACTCCCCTTCTCCCTTTGTGTGGTCTTTATTCCCAGTGAGGTTTGAGCCCCAGATTACAGGCAGGAATTAAGGCATTGGACTCAGGCAGCTCAGAGCTGCATGACCTGCAGGATCAAGAAGTGTACACTGGACGTACACACAGGAGGGGGCAACCCCTTCAGCAAGGCCCATTCATTGCCCCAGAAGAGTGGTGGATGGGTGGGTGGGGGGCAGCCTGTGTGCAGGTGCGGCAGACGGGCTGCCGTCAGCTCCAAAACGCTGCAGTTTGGCACTGGCTGGGGCTGGAGTCATCAGCTAAGGCTGGAGAACTGCGTGTCCCTGAAGTGCGGTGCCATCTGCAGGCCACGGTGGGTAGCCACTCACCTCTACCCCTCTCTCTCTCAGTGGGCAGCTGATGACACACCTGGGTAGTGACTTCCCCCCAGGGGCTGGGGTGCTGGATGTCATGTATGAGTCCCCTTCTACACTGCTGTCCTGTGGCTACGATACTTATGTTCGCTATTGGGACCTCCGCACCAGCGTCCGGTGAGTATGCTGGGTAGGACACACGTGGGCATCCAGTGCCAACCCTGGGGCAGCGCCGCCCCATGGCCACAGGTCTAGTAAGGGTGGGCATCTCTCAGCCCATCCCCAGCACTCTGGCCCAGTCTTGAGGCCTTTGTTCCAACCCTCCTAGGTTCTAAGACGAGTAGCTGGCCCTGTGGACACACACATGCATCCGCTCTGAGCCAGGGCTTGGGGAGTGTCCTTCACCTTCTCCAGTTAAGTTTGGTCATTAAAGACGTTGAGCTGGGTGCCAGTGTGTGCTGGTAATCCTCCAAGACCAGAGCGTGTGGGTTTGAGCCCAGCCCAGGCAACACAGTCAGTGAGATACCTCCCAATAAAAGCAAACGGCTGGAGTGGAAGTATAGCTCAGTGTGAAATCTCTGGCTTCAGTCCCCCACCCTAGGACTCCCCGGGCCCTGGCAAAGTACCCCAACCTCCCTACCTCTGTGCTCTCTGGACAGGAAGTGTGTCATGGAGTGGGAGGAGCCCCACGACAGCACCCTCTACTGCCTGCAGACAGATGGCAACCACCTGCTGGCAACAGGCTCTTCCTACTATGGTGTCGTGCGGCTGTGGGACCGGCGCCAGAGGGCCTGCCTGCATGTAAGTGTCTGGCCTCACACCTCCAGGTGCCAGGCTGTTCCAGGAGGGCTGGGGAATCCTGTAATGGCACGTGACCATGTCTCTGGGTCCAGGGAACCCTTGGTTGGTGTCCCAGTTCTTGCTTGGAGAGCAGTCCCTTCTCCCCACCCCCAGGCTTTCCCACTGACGTCGACCCCACTCAGCAGTCCTGTGTACTGCCTGCGGTTCACCACTTCGCATCTTTATGCTGCACTCTCTTACAATCTTCACGTCCTGGACTTCAAAAACCCTTGACAGGCTACTCGTGCCTGTGCCTGGGGAACCAGCACCTCAGGAACCTCTTCTGCCTGGAGTATATGATGCTGCTTCCTTCTCTCCCCTGCTGGGGCCACACTACTCGGCACCTGAAGCTAAGGGCAGTGTCTCCTGGAACTCTGGGGCCCTCGAGACGTGGGACTGCTGAGTCCATGAGCAGACAGGAGGCGCTGCTACAGAAACAGGCTCACGCTCCAGTGCGGCCAGAGCAAGGGTCTGCCTGGGAAGGGCCCGTCCTGCCCTTGCCTCTGCCCACTTCGTTCCCTGGGTGGCCTGCAGGAGGGGAAGTAGTGCTTGCTGCACCGTGGCCCTCTGACCCCAAGGCACCTGTCATGTTGGACCAGCCTTGTGGGGTACCATGGCATCGTGTCACGTTGGGTTCTGAGGTACCCTCAGAGTAGCCTGAGGTATTCCTTAGGCAGGCTGTGAAAGCATGCTACTACTTTCATTTTTGTAAAAATAAAGCTCGGTTGTCCAACATAGCTGGTTCTTTGATGGTCAAGTCACGCTATGAGAGATGCAGCAGGCGAATGGACGGATTCAGCTTGGGCGTGTGCATGTGTGCGCCGAGGAAAGGCCACCCTCTGCTGTGTCTCGGCCACAGAGGTTTCAGGAATACTGCCCCAGACCACCCGCCTTCTTAGTTTTGATGGGGGACCTCTGGGGTTCAGAGAGGGGCTGGGGGGGCTCTAGGCTTCTGAGGCGCGAAACAGCTGTCACCTATAGTGACCCATCTTTACCTTAGCCCGATGGACACACCCCCTCGTACCACTGTGCCTCATCCTGGCTTTTCACCCAGGATTCCTTAATGTCCAGGTTGTCTCCAAAGGCTCTGCATTCCCCTGCCCACACCTACCTTAGGCCACGCTGGCACAAGGGATTCCCCCAGACTCCCTCAAGTTTATGCAGACAGCTTGGAGGAGAGACTGCCCTATTGGGTTGAAAGTCCCCAGGAGGCAGAAGGGATGTCACACCAGTGCCCTCCCTAGAGAGGTCAGGGACCTGGGAAGGGAATACACCAAGCTGGACAGAAGGGCGGCCCATCTGCAATAGCTAAAGAGGACTTTACTTGGGAAGTGAGACCAAAATGGGGCCACTAGTACTCCTGGACCAGTTGTTAACGGCTTTGGATGGCTCCCAGGGGTAGAAGCTGCCCCACACTAACCCAGCCAGACTGGAAAGTGTCGCAGTCCTCCCCAGGGAGGTGTGAGCAGGGGCCAGCTACTGGGTCTTACAGTCTCCGTCGCTGCTGTGTGCCGTCTTGACCTTCTTCAGCTCCTTCTGTAGCTCTGACTCGGTTACCAAGATCTCCTTCGGCTTCTGATACTGTGGACAGAGCCAGAAAGATGACAAGATCGTTACATACCTATACTCGGACCCTTCTGATCCTCTTACTGCAGGAGAAAACTGAGGCACATGCTCGTGTGATTTGCTCATGATACACGTGGCTGGCTAGGAACGTTTCTTGGGCTAGACCCCAGGCCCTGAGATGTCCGTCAAGTCCCCGTCCACCTGTGCCCTCCTCCCTCTGTGGACCGTGTCATCTGGCCCTGTGCCCTCACTGGAGACACTTGATCTCTGGCAGGTACCTCAGGGTCAGGATCACTGAGGCCTAGAAGTGGGCAGGGAAAGAACCTCTCCCCAGGTAGCAGCAGAGAAGTACAGGCGAATCTTACAGAGATTATCAGGGTGCAGTTGGCATGAGCAAAGCTCAGCAAGGAATCATCCAGGGGCAGCTGGTGTCTGTCTAGGTCAGGAACGGAGAACTTCTTGTAGTATCTGTGGGGACACCAACAGGCCACTGTAGCACCCAGTAAGGTGACCCCTGCAGTTGGCTACCAGGCCTTTTGCCAGCAGGCCTCTACACAGTTCTTCCCACAACCCACTTTCTGCCACACACCCAAAGGCAGAGGGAAAACCAGCTAGAACAGCAGGCTTTTGGTCTGGAAAGAAAAGGATGCCGCCACCTTTCAGCCCATCCAACTCGGGTGCAGGGCCATTTAGGGCATTCATGATGAGACCAGGGTTCCAAGTCACTTCCGTGCCAGGCTCAGACTCCCAAAGGTGACAGCACCTTTTGGGATATGCAGACAGCTCAGACAGCTTGGGCCTTCTCTGCACCCCAAGCTTCATGGGACAACAATATAGGTGGTATGTCCCAGCAAGGGACAATAAAGACAGTATTTTGGGGCTATCTCCCAAAGCTAGGGATCTAGAGTGGCCACTGACATGGGACTTCCAGTGAAGCCCTCTGCTTCTTCTCCTCTCCAGAGGTCTTCAAAGGCTCTGTTAATCTTGCGTCGTAAATCAGAGCGAAGCATATCTACTGGCACAAAGCTTGGAGGACCAGCCCCTGACGCATCCCGGAGCTGGGAGCTGGGAGCTGGGAGCTGGGAGCTGGGAGCTGGGAGCTGGGAGCTGGGAGCTGGCTCTGGCTCTCACCGGCTGCAGACCACACCTCTCCACTGTCACACACCACACAGGGCCCTGTCATCTTCAGGTTCCAGGCCAGGCATTAACTGTCCCTTTTAGTAAAATAAACAAAAACAGGGACACCAAGCCCACAGTATGATCAGTAGACTCCAGAACTTGAGCTCTTTATCGGAGGAAACTGCTTGGAGAGGAGAGAAACAGCCAGGTGTCAGTGGCTGGCTCGGTGCCCCTCATCTGTAGGAGCAAGCCCATGTACCGCTGGGGGCATGTGGCCCGGGCCCTGGCCAGGACTGCTGAGCAGCTGCACAAGGGGCAGGCATCGCTCGCTGTCCTTTCCGCAGCAGAGGTTGTGTGGGCTGCAGAGGGAAGCGCCTCAGGCAGGTACAAAGAAACCTAAGTGAGGAGCCTGGAAGGTAGCTTTTAATACTTCACAGGGGCCCGGTCCTCATGCTGACAGCTACCTGGAGTCCACTTCAAAGACCGCAATGCCCTGGGGACTCAGAAAGTTGACGTCAGTGCAGCACTTTTGCCCCCGTCCTCCCTGCCCAAATCCCCTGGTTCAGCAGAGGTTCTGGGGCCCCTCTCCTCCCAGCTTCCCCACTCTCCACAAGGTGTTAGGACCAATGGCAGGAAAAGAATGTTTACTTAGAGGCTGACAGTTCAAAAGAAGTGGGGGCTGGGGGGTTCCTAATGGCACCACAAGCTGCTTTCTTTTCCAAAGCTCTGCCCCAGGGAAAGGCGATCCATCTGCCTACACACTAAGAGGAATGCCTGCCACATCCTCTTCCTCGCCAGCAGGGCTGAGGGCTCTTCCTGGGGCCCTTGGTCTGGCCAGCAAAGGTGGCAGACACTGATAATGGGGGAGTCAAAGGTTAAACAGCAGAGATTAGGTGAACACAAAGGCTTGTGAGGGAGTGTTAACATCTTCCTGCAAATATACACAAAGAGCAGAACCTGAGAGGTGGCGCCCATAGCCCAGCCCAGCTCTTGCCCAGGCCCGGCCAGTTGGAAGCGGCGAAGAATCTCAGGGCTCGGCCTCAGTGCCAGGATCAGGGTCAGAGGGAAGGTGGGGTGGGTGCATGGCCTTTGCTGTGGTGTACTGTAATGGATTTGGCTTATTGGGTGAGGTTAAACAACTCCACACTCCTGACAGCCAGAGCTGAGCAGTAAGGGATGGCTGCCTCGTCTCCTGGGGCAGCCCGGCACCTCCTCATCTCTCTATCCTTGCAGCACTGAGTTTGCCAAGGCAGGATCTGCACTTGACTTTCTCATTCGTTACCTGCACCAGAAAGGGACCCTGTTGTGTTTCTGGAAATGTAAGCGTCCTCAGCCTTGGGGCAGCTCTAGGCAAGCAGCAAGTGTTTACAGTAGGCCCCTACTGTTTCCTAGGCCTGGGGCTGTGTGCTGTGACTCACGGGTGAAAAGCCCCGCCCTCTGCGAGGGCCGCTAAAAGCTAACCTTCCAGCAAGACAGCGAGCTTCTTAGATGGACTGGTCCCACCACCCAACTCCTTCACTGTTCTCAGTCTCAGCCAAACAAAGATGACACTTTCTTCTCTGTGTGTCCACCGTCCTTCTCACCTTCCCCACTTCCTTTCCTTTTCCTTTCTCCTGGTGCTGGGGATGGAACCCGGGGCTTCCCAAGGCTAAGTAATACAGCTCTGTCTGTTACCTTAATGCTGCCTTTGGGTGAAGTGCTGTTTCCAACAGCCACCCTCTGAACACTCCTCAGGGGGCTACTCCAGGCACCAGGTTAGGTTTGTTGCCCAGATCACAGAAGTTAAGCTTTTATTATCAGTGAATTTCCCAAATCTGGTAATGTCAGAAGCTCTACATTTTGAGCACCTGTTTTAAATGCCTGACATCTCAAGGATTAAGGGAATCTGGGAAAGGGGGGGTGCTCCCAAATGAATAGACTGTCTGCTCAGGACGCACCCCACAGGGCCAGGGCACCCTCTCCAAGCCCATCAGAGGCCATCCTGTCCCAGGGTCTCGTCTTCAGAAGGCCTGCAGGAGGACTCCTGGCTTGCAGGCCAGTTCATCTCTGGGCCTCAGTTTCTTCTAAATTCCTTGCTTAAATTCAGGAGCTGTACTAGATAAGCTGAGCCACTGTCCAAGGGTCCAGAACAGGTCGACTGTGAGCCTCCTATTCTGTTGAAGGACAGCTCTTTCATTTGGCTATTTCACAGTGGCCTCTGGCCTCCTGGTTTCTCTCCTACCCCTTCCTGAACTCAACCCCCCCCCAGCTCCCCTTGCACCTGCAGGCCCTTGGCAAGAACACTGTGGAGGAGCGCTGCCAGCAGGCACAGGACTGTCTGATCAGTTGCAGGCCTTGACCCACACAGCCCGCTCTGCACGCTGGCATTGCAGAGGTAGCAAGAACCGGAGATCAAACTCAGGACTGTGCACTTGCCAGGCAGGCGCTTACGCCGCTGCACCCAAATCTTAAGCCTCAAGGCTCTGGGCAAACCAGGCCCCCACTCCCACTGCCCTTGCTGGAGGGCTCTCGGGCCTACCAAGGGAAGCCTGTGAGACCCAGCCCCTGACCATGTCTGACCACAGAACCTCTATTTCTGGCGATGCCTACTAACTCTCCCAGGTGAGAAGCACACCCAGTCAGCTGCGCTATCTTCAGAACTGCTGAGGCCCTGCATGCAGGCAGCTGCGCATCGTGAGGGAGGTGTAGCCTGCTCCTGTGTTGGATAAGGAAACCTTGCCAAAATGCAGGTTCTGCGTGGCCAAGCCGGACCTGGGCTGACATCTTTCCACTCCAGCACCTAGCTCATCCCATTTACAGCTGCCGGCTTCTGGACTCAGGCTCAGAACTGTTCCTCTCCACATTTCTATTAGGACCAGACAGAGCCGCACAGGGCTTCTTCCCCAGCCAAGCCCTCACTGCCCGAGGCCATGGCCACAAGGCACAGAATCAACCCCGCAGCCAGTGGCCAGCCCAGGTTGGCAGGACAAGGCTGCATTTACAGGGTCTGCACCAGGCAGGCATGGAGGCTCCAGGTAAAGAAAGGCTGGCTCAGAGAAAGATGCCGTGCCGTGGTGGGCCCTGGGCGCCTGGTGAGGAGGGCACCAGCTGGGCGGGCTGTGCACGGTGTTGATCTTGTCATGCAGTTGTTAATACCTCAATAAGAATGAAGTGCATGTTCGCCCACCTCTGGATGGTATGACGATGAGGAAACGGTGCAAAATAACCCTGAGAACACTGTGCAACCCTGTTCACGGGACGAGTCAGTACGTTCTGTCCACAAGCCAGTGCACAGGAGAGGATGCATTACTTGCATAGAGTTAAAAGCAGCAACCTCAGGGAAGTCGCTGAGGGTGTGGTGGCCCCCGCTGCCCGCCTCCTAAGCCAAGCTCCCCCGGGGCGTGGCCGGGCCAGCTGATAGCTGGCACAAGTGCAGTGTGTGCTCCAGAGAGGCACTGAGAGCCATGTGGTGACACCCACCTGTGGTCCCAGCTCTCAGGACTGAGGCAGATCGGTGAGTTCCAGGCCAGCCTAGACTGCGTAAAGAGCCCTCGTCTCAAAGAAAAACTCCAAAAGAACAAAACATCGGGCTCTGGAACGCCCCTCTCCCCTGTGCAGAGCCCCTTCCCCACCTGGCCTCACTAGTTCCCAGTTCCTACCCTTGGGGTGGCAATGGGCTTCTGGCCACGAAGCGCTGGGCCAACAGCGCCACCTACGGCTAGAAGCGCGAGGAGATGGGGCCCGGAGGACCTGCCACAGATGAGTGTTCTGGGGAGCTAGCGAGCCTCTCCTCCCTTGTAATCACATTTCTGCCTGATCTCTGTATTCGACAGTGACCTCTGGGGGACAGAACGGAGGCAGCAGCCAGCTCCACAAAGTGCCAGGCTGCAGATTCAGATGCTGTCAGAGCGCTTTTGTTCCCAGTTTGGACCTGGGGCCTCTTACGCCAGGGAATGCTTGCTGAAGCACAGAGTTTGTTTTCCTAAGGCAATTTCTCTGTTGTCTGAAATTGCTAAATTCCACTTTAGGCACTGACTCCTGTTAATGATGAGAACAATAACGGGAATAAACTGCCTTTTATCTGAGAGCTTCAATGTGCTTTATAAACGCAAACTCCTATTATTATGGCTTTATATTTAGAGACAAGACCACGGAGGGGCTGCCGACTGCATGTGCAGCAGTAATCTTGAAATTAATTCATTCATCTCCACCCCCTTCCCTGCCCCCTTAACCCTGCCGAAGTGCTAGGGTGTGGGGACCATAGGAGAAGGCCGAGCCAGGGGAACCTCAAAACTGCCCTCCTTTCCTGTGGGCCTCACAGACCGAGGAAGAGAGAAGGGAGGCCAGCATCACACCACCTGGACAGGAGCAGCAGATGAGTGCAGGACGCACAGCAGGGAGCTTCACAGCTTGTGGGCTGATAGCTAAAAACCTCCCACTGGGGCTGGGGATACAGCTCAGCCACACAAGGCCCACCTGGCAAGCACAAGGTCATGAGTTCAACTCCTGGTGCCAAAAAACAAAACAAACTCCCACTGGCCAGGCATGGTGGCACACACCTGTAACCCAGCACTCTGGGAGGCTGAGGCAGGAGGATGACCCCTGATTGGGCAATTTATGGCTTAGCAAGATTATATCTAAAAAGAAAAAAATTGAAAAGACCTGGGGATGTAGCTCAACATAAGGCCCTGGATTCAATCCTTAGTATCACCAATACAAAACAAAAGCTGGGCCGGGGAGAGGGCTCAGTGGAATAAGTGCTTCCCTGGCAAGCACAAGGGCCTGAATTCAATGCCCCCCCCCAAAAAAAAAATAAAACAAAAGCCCCAAACCTTCCATGGAAGTACCCCAAGCCATGTCACGGAGTTGGCCCCACACTAGCAGCACCATTTTAGGCCTCTTCTGCAATCAGTCAGAGCTCCAGAAATTCGAATGTGGTCACCCTGGCAGCCACTTTCTGTCCTTTCTACTTGCAGTTTGCCTTCCCCAGCAGGCCACAAAGGGAAGAATGAGAACTGGGAGACTTCTAAGAAGCCAAAGTACTGCCTACTGCTCCTTCCTCCGGGAGGGCCCAGGTTACTGCCGCCCAGTCCACTCCTGCAAAATCCCAAGACCACTGCTTCTGGCGGCCGGGCCTCCCAGGCCGCAACTCCCAGCCAGCTCGGGCAGTGACGGCACCCCTGGCTTGGATCCAGTCAGGAGGCCACAGTCACAGTAACCTTACAGTAGAACAACTCGAGATCGTAAGTTAATGGCCACGTGATTCCTCACCCCTTATGCAGCCAACAAATAAAGGCCACGTGCCTCCACGCCAGGTGCCGTGCCGACATGCGCTCAAGCTCCCGCAGACAGAGCTGAAGACCTCACTCAGGCTGTGCCTGCAGGCGGACCCTGGCCCCCCCCTCCCCCCGACCCAGGCCACAGTGCAGGACAGAGCCCTGCCAGGCCCCGCAGAGCTGCAGACAGATGCTCGTGCACTACTTACTTTTTATTGGTTGTCCTGACTATGATGCAGCGCTCCTTTGGGGCTACACAGACACTGTAGACGTCCTTGGGGTAGGGGAGGTTCCGGATCCTCCACTGGAAAGTCATCTTGGTGTCCTTGCGCATAAAGATAGGCTATGGAAGGCAAATCCAAGCCCTCTTGGGGAAGGAAGGGCAAGGGTGGCTCCCACGCTCCCCAGAGCTCTGCCCAGATCTGGATGGGACACACTGGGCGCTCCAAGCTCCCTCTGGGCTGCAGGCCTCTAGCTGGGGAGACCAAGGTGCCCTGGAGAAACCCTTCAGGCATCTGCTCAAGCAGCATCTGTGGCCAGGTGGGCACACTGGGGGTGAGGGGTACGCCAGGCAGGGTCCCTGCCTCAGGCCACAGCCTCCCACCCCAGTCCCCGGGACATACGTTGGCACTGCTCTCCTTGATGAGTTCGGGCCCCAGGCTGCCCGCTCCTGGAGGCGCTGGCTCTCCCACTTCGAGCTGCCACTGACCCAAGACTCCCAGGGCACTTCTCTTACGCCACTTTCTCACTGGGGAGAGAAGCGATGTGTTACAGGAAAGAAGCTGTCTCTGCCGTCCAGCTGCCTCACCAGGCTGCTGCAGCATGCCAGAGTGGAGCTCTGGGCATCTGGGCAGC